AAAGACATCTGAGATCCGCTGTGTCAAGGGAAACGTGGAGGCAAACACAAGAAACAGTGCAGAAGGACCAGTGCAAAGCTCTGCCTTGGGGTAGCAGTAATCGTCTGCACCAATCGAGGAAGGAAATAACTGGCTTGGCAGCAGCAGAGGAGACAAAAATCTCAGTGAATCACAGGCTCGACATGAGTCAATGCTGTCACACGGTTGTGAAAAAGGCACACGTCATAGGAGGCCGTGTAAGAAGTTGCATGCTTTGCAAGGCATCTGAAGTATTCCTCCTGCTCCCAGTGCCGGTAAAGCTGCGGCTGGAGCCCTTTCTTTCCCGTTTTGGATTCTGTGTTTTGAGGAAGATATGGGCCAATAGCAGAGAGTCCAGGGAGAGCAGTGAGAGTGGTCAGAGGGCTGGAAACCATGAGGAATGAGAAAAGCTTGAAAGGACCCAGGATTGTTTAGTCTAGGAAAGAGCAAGCTGAGCGGGGGGGGCGGGGGGGTGGTGTGTGTATGAAAAGCTTTCAAAGACATAAAAGGCTGCTGTGAAAAGTGAGGGAATGATCTGTTCTTAGTAGCTAATAGGAAGAAGATAATAAGTCATAGGCTGAGCAAGGAAATTTAGTCATTGGGGAAAACTCACATAAGTGAAAGGCTGATGAAGTACCAAAACCTCTAGTGTGTGTGGGGTTGATGTCTGGAGGCCTTCAGAGCGCCCATCTCTGGGTGGGTGGCAGGGGAATTCATCTTACTTTGGCTGGCAGGATGCACTATGAGACCTTTGTAGCCCTGTTTTCCTACTGTTTGAAGATTATTTTATAAAGCTTGTGATGAAGTCTGCCTCCCGGACGCTGCCAACCTTCATGTTACAAGACAGCAGGGATTACATGTGACAGTGCTACTTTATCATTGGTATAGCAGCAATTCCCTGAGGTCCTGGTCAGGCTGCAGGATCGCACTGAGGTGGGAGGAAGCTTCATTGTTAAGGAGAGGAATACAGAACATGTTCGCTTATGGTGGGACAGCAAGGGAGCCCTTGGCTTGCTGTTTGTCCCTGTGTGTGACAGGGCTAGGTGATGTACAGGCACAGTCCTTGTCCTGAAGACACTAAATGGGTGCAGGGGAATCCTCCTGCCAAGGCAGAGCTCACCAGCACGCTTATTTGCTGGTTCACGGGCTGATTTGCGTCGTGCTTTTTAATCGTGGAAAGTAAGAGCATGTCTTTGTGTCCTAAATAGGCGATTGTCCTGATTCTCATCCCCGGGATCCATTATGTCTTAGCAAATTACTTTCTCTCTTTTAAATGCCTTGGTGATTAAAGATGCCACTGCAGATACCCTTAATGAGTACAAAAAGGGTAATAATTCCTCGTGCTGGCACTGAATGCAATTAATCAGGCCCCTTTACTTGCTTTTTAAACAGATGAGGCATTTAAGGCCAAGCAAGTTTTTAATTGGACTTTAATGTCTCTCATTTACTTCATTTTGGCACAAGCACAGGAATTCCCACCCCCAGGTTTGCTGTTGGATTTATTCAGGGTGATGAAAGGCTCAGCACAGGGTGAAGACTCAGCAGCAGACTCAAACATGTCCTTCAGCCCGTGCCTGGCCCCGGCTTCATCCTGCTGCAAACAGCACAGAATTGTCTGAGCAGGAGCAGAGCCAGGTCATCCAGCCCAAGGCCCACTCCAGCATGGGGCTGACACTGGATATTAGCAGTATTTTTGGAGTAGTCATCAACATGAGGGTGCAACATAGCCAGACCTGTTTAATTAGGTTCCTTTGGGACCATCTGGAAGCCCTTGATGGAGGTCCATGTTCATATCCTAGACTCTATAGCTTCAAACATGGCATGAATTGTATCTTTTAAGGGGTATTCCTGAGATCCATGGCCAAGAGGAGATAACAGAGGCCTTGAGCACTGTTACAGATGGATGTGTGCATGCAGAGGTTGTTAATTCATGCCAGGAATTCCCATGGGAGAAAAGATGCGTGACGAGTGACCTTCACTTAGACTGCAGCCCCTGCTCCCTGCTGTGAAGCCAGCACTGCCTCTCCTTCCACCTCTGGCCACAAACCATCTTGCCTTTTGTTCCCTTCACTCATGGATATCCTCCACTGTGGTTTGGGGACGGCAGTTGCCTGTCAGCATGTCCCAGTCCATGCTTCATGCAGGGACATGTGCTGCCTGGCCGATCAGCCCCTGTCCCAACTCAACTCTTCCCCACTGTCAGCTGACAGCCCAAGGTTCAGCTGAAAAGACATCAGTCTCGACGTGTGCGAGCCTGCCTCTGAGCCTGCTTGTCGCTCTGTGGGGCAGGCATACCTCTAACACCCAGGAGAGATCCTGAAATGGCTTCAAGTGGGTTTTTCAGGTGCATGCTGTGTCTTTTGCAGAGTCAGGCCTGTCTGTAGCACAGCTGTACAGTGGCTATAGGCTCCCATCCACGGAAGGGTTGCCAGATGCAGGTGAGCTGTGAGTGCCCTTGGACAGGTGAGATGGCTCTTATGCCATTGGGGTTCTTTGCCCCAAAAGCCATTTAGGAGATATGCAGGGACAAGCAACAACACCCTCCATTTCTGCATCCCTGCTTCTCCCACTTCAAAGGTAGGCAGAATTGTAAGCACAAGTGAGTCTGGAAAGTTAAGGGTATTCAGAGAAATGTGTTATTGAATACCTTGTGTTAATTTAAACACTTTTTGCCTGCCAGGGAGCAGGGAGAGGAGCATTGCCAGCTGGATCAGCCATAGCACTTCTCTAGATCTGTCTCAGAGCATCTTTACTTTAAGTCCCTTGCTAAAACGCAGAGCCTCCCAGTGCAGCCTAAGGAACTGACGTGCTTGAGTGCCAGGCTCTGCCTTCCAGGCAGCTGCTCAGCAGGGACTGCCACAGGGATGCTTGCCCAATATTTTGTTTGGTTTTGCCTTCTTATTTGTCATACCTCCTCTCCTCCCACTCCCTTGCAACTTGAACACGCATCTGATACTGGTGGTTGTGCAAGGTTCACATGTACTCCTGGATAGCCAGATATGAGAACTAGATCTCTCTGGTTTTATCTTGTGCTGAGAATATCTTTGCACATTTTGCCCCTTTGCATCACTTCCCTGCTACCTGCAGGTAAGGATACTTGAAGCCATCATGCCTTGAAAAATAAGGGAGAATTGGAGGCTGATCAAGGTTTTATTGCGTGATCGTGATGTGAGGACTGTAGACATCTTGATGAGATGTTCAGGGGTAAAGGTGAATAAAAGAGCATCCAGCTTGCTCTGTGTCTCCACAGAGTGAAAAGTGCAGGCTGTTGGCACATTCTCCAGCAGTGGGTGGGGACTGAAAGAAATAAGGGCCAGGTCCTAGGATATTTCTGCTCCTCTGGCTGGGCAGTATGAGGAGGGGCAGGCGGCTTGGTCCTGTGGCTGTGGAGCCTGCCAAGATGCCCTTAATCCAGGGTTTGTAGCCCAAATATGTCTTATGTCAGGAAGCTGCAACCCCAAGTGACCATGGCCAGCCATTCTTGCATTGAGAATCTTCTGGCTGAGGCTTACAAAGATGTCATTTTCTTTGATTTAATTCCATATAAACTGCGGGATTATTTTCCTTTAGAGGCTTGCAAATTATGGAAGCATAAACCATGCTAATGATGCGATAAGGACAGCTTTGGATGCTTTCCCAAGAACAGCTACCCCTGGGCAGGATGTGCTTGGAGAGAACTGATGGAGAGCAGTCTGCCACGCTCACCTGGCTGCCTTCCTTGGGCCCCCCCTCCCCAAATTCCTCCATCTCTCAGGAACGAGAATCATTTCCTCTCCGGCTTCTTGCAGAGGCAAGGGCCCTGCAGACCTGAAGTTATCTCTGGAATGTGTGTAAACACCGAGTTCAATGGGATGCTGTTTGCCCCCTTCTCCTGGCGGGGTTTAAGAAGGGGTTAATATGAGTTTGTTTTACGGGTTCCTAGCCCTGAGAATTGTCTTCCTCGGAGGGTGACCCAGCTGACCCGAGTCCCTGTGTGTGCATTTCCCAGCATCAAGGGGAGATTCAGGGGCCCCACCAGCTGGGTGGAATTTCGGTCCTCTAAGAACAAGGAGATGAAAGAGACCACAGTGTTTGAACAGGGACCGGGGAGATGGTGTGGGATCGCAGTGCACGTGCACTGGGACTCAACGTGTCGTGTGATGGTGTAACTAACAGGATTTAGGCAATCCTTGGACAGAAGCAGATTTGCAGTCAGAAGGGTGGGGGTTACATGCGGTTCTGGTGTCCCCATCTTCAAAGACTGTTGAAACATAAGCAAGGGGACAAAACCTTAGAAATTATGTACGGGCTGGGACAAAATGCACTTCAATGAGAGGCATAAAGAGCTCCATCTGTTTATCAAAAAAAAAAAAAAAATCAGATTTAAATTCATTATGGTGTATGAGTATGTTACTAACGAGACCCGCCTGGGCACCAAAGTACAAAGATTTAGAATAAGCAGCAACAACCAGAGCCTAAAGCAAGACAAAATCAAGTTGAAAACAGGCGTGTTGATACCAATGAAATGGTTAATTCCTAGATGTGTTGTCAGCACTGGTGACGCACTGAGGCTGGATCCCTTCCAGAAAACAACACTTTAAACCGAAGACAAAGAACTGAGCTTAGCACGGAGGTGATCAGTGGAATGGCTTGGCCTGGTATATACAAGGGGTCAAACTAGATGATTTAATGATCTCTTTTGGCCTGAAAGCTTTCTGTTCTCCTAAGATAAATGAAAAAGCCCTTTCACAAAAAGCGAGCACTTGAGATATGTGTGTAGTGAACTTTGCTGCTTCCAGGGGAACAGCAGAGCAGGATCTGCAGGAAGCATGACCTTGCCGCCTGCAGGCTGCCTGAAGTTCGTGGCCATCTGTTTAGTGGCGGTGGCACACCACCACCAAGGCCACCACTCTCATGCATGACGTTTCTCAGCTCTGTTTTTAATTGCTAACTGACACTGTCTCCCTGCATTTAAGTAACGTTTGCTTACTTATCTCCATCAGGGTGAAGAGGCCAAGCGGTATGAGCAGCCTCCTGGGGAAGATTGGCTCCAAAAAGCAGAAGATGAGCACACTGGAGAAATCTAAACTGGACTGGGAGAACTTCAAGGAGGAGGAGGGGATTGTGGAGGAGCTGGCGATCCATAACCGAGGGAAAGACGGGTAAGAGGGACTTTACCTAGTAGTAGTCCAGCATTTCCCACCACTTCCTATACATATAGGAACCCCATCGCTTGCTACAGAGAGTTCAGCAAACCCATGGGATTTCTTAAGGATTTATCCTAGGGAAATATAAAGCCAGTAGCTGCTCTAAGTACCACAGGGAGACAGGTAAGTCTGCAAGCACCTATTGCTCTCTGTTAACAACCTCGTGAGTTCTTCAAGTCCAGCTAAAGTAGAGTCTGGCTGTGCTTTACCTTCTCTCCTATTAGTGGCACAGATGCAGTGTGAACCGGTCTAATGCAGCACTCCCATGAGGAAACACAATTGCCTTTGCCCTGTGTTCTTTTTTTTTAAAAAAAAAAAAGTCTCAAATTGGGAGGTATGGGTTTTTTTCTGTTCTTCAAATGACATGTTTCAGCTGTGTCTGTCCTCCCTCCTCCTGCATAAAGATGTATGCAAACCCAGAACAGCTGGCAAGGTGTGTTAAAGATTATGGCAGCACCGGGCGTTGATTGTGTGCATCAAGCAATGTTCACTCCAATGAAGTTAATGGAAGTATCATAAAAGTAAATGGTGGTGCTGTAAATAAAACAGAAAGTTAATAACATGCACTGCAGGGAAGGATAATAAGATCAGAAGCAGCCTTTCCACTACAAGTGCTTTGCTAAGCTCTGGGAAAATGTAACCGGCTTAGTGGACAGCTCATAAAATGTATTTTTATTGTAAGCTGTTCTTTTACTCTGCGGGAAAAACTCAGAGCTTCTGCATTCCAACCAATTGGATTTTGTATTTCAAATAGATATTTTATAACTGCTGGATTTTTTCAGTTTGGTCTTGCACCCTTCCACAGCACCCCTTCTCTGTCAGGTCTGCCCTGATCTGTTTCTGGACATGTGCCCTTGAACAACTAGAGCAATTCAGTAGGAGTGCTGGATGGGGGCAGGTGTTCCTCTGAGATCCCTGAAATCCAAGGAGATGAGCAATTTACATCGCATATGGGTGTGGCAGAGCACACATGCACCAGATCCTTGACAATGCTGTCTGCAGCATGGCGAATGTTATGGTCAGAGCCCCATACGCAAGGCTCACCATTGAAATGGCCCATGCCAGGAGTCTGGAGGCAGAGCCAGGCCATGTACCAGGCTCTGTCTGAGGTGGAGGGAGAAGAGGAAGGTGTGCTTCTCCCATGAAGCCCCATCAGGAGCTGCAGGCTGCTTTGGGAGAACTCAGCTCCAGGGCAGGGTCCTGTTTCTGTCTGTGGCACCTGGCTGGTTTATCCTGATGGCATGTGGATTTGGGATTTGCCCTATGCAGACGTCCGAGTGGCTGCCAAGTGTGGTAATGGCTTTGGGCTTTCACTGCTCTGGATTGGGCTGATGGTGGTAGTATCACCATTAAAAGCCAGACCATCTCCTGCCAATTGCTGGGACACGCTGTTTCTTTCCACTGTCGGTGGAATCAGCCTGAATCAGGGTCCATCGCTCTCAGCTGGACTATACACACCCCAAACAGGCCAGGCTGCTCTGCATGGGCGTTTTCTGGCATCTCTTGCTTGTTTAAACCTACTATGTCAACCTTTCTTGCACAGTGCTGTTTCCCACCCCATACAAGCAGGACAGCTCGCTCTTCACGCCTGGCAGACCTTTCCGGAGATGCTAACGTAATGGTCCTTGAAGGCTGAAGAAGGGATCAGCACATTGAAAAGATGAGCAAAGCAGAGCAGCAATTTTAAGAGCATCTGCAAGCTTGGACAGCTTTGGGTTTTGCTGCCCTTCAGATCCTAGGCTAGAAAATCCATGGGGCTATTAGCAAGTGATTTTTGTCATTAAGCAAACAAGAAACGTGATGCCATGATAACTTTAGACACTCCTTACAAATCTGTTTGTCCTAGAGAGGCACGTGATGTGAGGGGATCAACCAAGTATCTGCTCACAGTGAATCACATCCACCTTCAACGTAAAGGAAGGGAGAAGGGAGGAGCACCGATGGATGCGCAACCCACTGCACTTCTGCTTACAGGCCACCTGTCAATGCTCGTGATATGAAGCGTCCTGCACCATTAGGGAGCAGCCATCCTGCTCGGGGGGGCAGATCACACAGACACAGCGTGCCACCAGCTTCAGGTCATTTTGCAGGAGCCTGTTGTCCCTTCCACAGCCACCTCTTCTCCTTTAATAACATAGGCTCTGCTCACCCTTCGGTGGGCAATCATTTACACATCTCTATAAAAGTCGTAATGAGTGGTTGTTAACCCTTCAACACAGGCAGGCAGGAGCGGGGCACTGCCTTTATCCCTGGTGCCGACGTGCATTAGAAACCTCTGGTCCCTGAGTGTCCTCCTTTGTAATTAAAAATGTCTGCCTCATGAGGAAAGCCACAACTCACTCCTGGAAGCATCTACTCAATGCCACGCGTGCCTGTGCACTACAGAGATGGTTCACGCGTGTCTTGAGGAAGGCAGGAGGCATTTCTTTTTGCTCAGAAGAGAAGGCAAGCTGTATTTCTCTTTTTTGCAGTAACCTTGCAGAAGTTATTGTTCACAGCCCAGAGCTCCTCATACCTTGGACCTCCCCGGCCCTTCTCCAGCAGCAACATGTGCTCAGCCAGCGCACTGGTGGCCCGCTGAGCAACAGGGCCGCAGCATCTTGCTGCTGCTGCTGCCAGTTATCAGCCAGCTGCAGCGTGGCCCCCGGATTCCTGAGGCAGAGGGGACACGTGCTGCCCCATGGCTGCGTCCACCCTTGCCTCTGATTTTCCACCCTCGTATCGCCAGCCCCAGACAGTGATTTGCATTTCCCCAGCAGCAGGATCCGGGCTTGTGTGGTCTCATTGTGTCAGATCCTGAGGGCCTGTCCTGGATTTGACAGGAGGGGCTGAAGTAAGGAGCAGAGGCAGCTATCCCCTTTGCTGTCGACCTCTCTGATGTGTTTTATAAATGGAAATGTGTGGTGGCCTCTTAATTGGGCCACCTTTGTAGGGCGGGCCCAGTGGAGGAGCAGCCCTGCTCCGGGTGCACTGGGTGGCTGATGGTGACTGTCAGGGGACGGGCAGCACCAATGAAACCTTCCCCGGAGCAGTTTGCAGCTGCCCTCGTTAGCAGAGACAGCATGTTCTCCCAACAAATTTACCTTCCTCTGCTGTGGATCACAGCTGCCCTGTTTCCACGCAGGCTGATAATTTACAGGAAGGTATTGATTCAGGTAGCAAAGGTTATTTAGACAGGCACAGGATGGGTGTTTGTGCCTCGCTCATGCACTTTGCACTGCTGTTTGGCAGCACCTTGCTGCCAGCTACGCGGAACCAGGCTGGGAACTGGAGATGGAGCCGTGGCTCAGGCGCAGGGTTTGGGGCGCAGTAGGGCAGGGGAGCTTTCATCGACCCTGCAGACCTGCTGCTTCCCTGCTTGTGTCCTCCAGCCTCTTCTGTGTGCAAGCAGCACAAGCTGGCCGGGCTTGTTCCCAAGCTGTCTGCCCCATAAACCCCGGTGTATGCAGAGGTAGTGCCTTGTGGGGTCTGCTCTGGCCCCTGTGGCACTTTTCTGTGGCCAGCCAAGGACAACGCCACTGGGTAACGTCGCAGTTCCTCCTCCATGCAGAGCCGTGCCGCTGGCCGCAGCCATGAGACCGCATTCCTGGTTCATGATCCGTATCGATCCCCCAGGAGCCAGTCCCTGCTCGCTGGAGAGGCACAGCAGCCATGGAGGAAGAGGAAGGGACTGACCCGTTGCTGGGGTTGGGAGAAGGGAGTCACAGAGGGGCTGAAAGACCTTCAAATTCGGTAGCTTGGGCTGTTGCTGCCCAAGCGGTTGGGGTGTTCCCAGGTTAACAGTGGTAACCCCTGTCCCTTGCCTTCCCAGCTGTGGTTGCAGTTGGTGTTTAGCAGCAGAGGAGGAGGAAAACCACACACCCAGCAATATGACACGCTGTAAAATACAACGTGACCCCCCCGACTTCCTTCCCGTGGCCTCTCCGAGCCCGGCCCCAGGAGCCGGTCACCTCCCTGCTTGTGGGGATGAAGGGAAGTGACACTGCCCTGCCCGCCTTTCCTGAGCCAGCATGGGGAGGGGGCCTCTGTGCACAGCCCTCCTCTGACAGCAAGGGGCGGGGGGCCAGAAAAACACCTTCTCGTGGCCCGCACATCGTCTGCATTATGCCACACTGGGCCCCTGCTCCTCGCAGCTGGCAGAGATGAGCTGACCCAGTTGTGTCAGCACAAGACAGGCTCAGGCTGCGATGGAAATGGGGTGGCAGCAGGGATGCATGGGGCTGTTTATCGGCTTGGGGATGGAGCCGGGGGGGAATCGCTTGCTGAAATTAATTTGCGTTAATTCATTTCCAATGACTGGGTGGGCAGGAGTGTCAGGGCCATCCTTCGCAGCAAGGGCGAAGGCACCCTGGTCCTGGGAGCACATTCAGCGCCGGTTCAGTAGCTGTAGCAGAAAGCAGAGACCTTGTCACCAAAGGCAGTGCAGCCCCTCTATCCTAGAGGGACCACTGCTGGTGGTGGGAGGAGCCCTCAACCTTCCCATGCAGTTGGGTCTTCAAGCTCCTTCATGCATGCTGCCAGCCACCTGAGAATCTGGAAAACCCACAGAGCCTGCGATGCTCATCTTTTCTGCAGCCTTTGGTCTTGCTTTCAAGCAATGGGCTTCTCTGCTTAGCAGGCACCAGCCGTGGTGCAGGAAAAGTGGTGACCAGCAGAGAGAAGCCAAATGCAGCGGCTCACGCATCTCATGCCGGTGCCAAGTGTAATGACCTTGTCATGACAGCTGAGTGTTTGCCACCCTGGAACAAATGCAAAACAATTGTGATGATTCAATTACAGCTCCTGTTTTGAATTGCAATTTCACTCCCTCTGTAGGTTAATTAGTAGCACAGCCCCAGGCTATCTGTGGCAAGGGTTTGCAGCAAAGTACATTAAAATTCAGCTGCATGCCATTAATGAGCGGCAAGGTGCTTTTCCAGGCTCAGGCATGCTTGCCTTCTTCCTTGCAGCGCTCAGGTGCCTCGCTGAGAGGGAGAAGTAAATACGCGGCAGTGGTTAGGAGCTGGTCTGTGGCTGGGAAACCCCTGGCCTGAATCCCTGAGCTGCTGCAAGCTTGCTGGGTGATGCTGTTTGCATCCCTGCTGCTCCCTGTGCCCGTTATCAGCTTGTATCGTGGGTCATGCTGCTGTGGTTGGGTTTGAGATGCTTTGCTAGGGGCGGGGGGCAGGGTCACCTGGGCAGCCTCAGAGCTGCCTCTCCTGCTGAGGACCTGCCCTGAGCCTGTTCAAGTTGTTTGTGAAAGTCATTTCTCAGCCTTAAGAGAAGAACTGGAACCAGAAGCAGCTATCCCATGGCTCCAGCCTACAGGGACCCTTTGCCCCAGACCTCTGCAAGTCCTCCAGGAGACACCTATCAGGCCAAGAAGCAGTTTTGGTGTCTGTAGGAGACACTCAGTGCAGTGACCAGCTCATGGAAAGGGAGGCAGCCGATGCCTTCCCTCCCTGCTCATCCCTTTGGGTTGGCTTTGCCCTGGGCTGGGGGCAGTGCTGACTGCTGCAGGCACCACTTACAGCCTCTGCCTCCCTGCAGGTACATCGAGAGGAAAGCATTCCTGGAGCGCGTGGATCACAGGCAGTTCGAAATCGAACGCGACATCAGACTGAGCAGGATGAAGCCCTGAAGTGCCAGGGGTGGCCGCAGGGGATCCTGCTCCCTTCTGTGCCTGAGCACTGGCTGGGGGCTGCCACCCACCGCCAGACCACCAGGCACGGAAACCATTTTACCCAGGACTCAGCCTGTATCTCTCAACGTACAGGTTTTTCCTTTTACTGTAATAGTTTGGGGAGGGTATTTTGTCAGTGGGCAGGGGGCACTTTGAGGGTTAAATGGTCCAGCAGGTGACAGAAGAGACCACCGTGATTCTGGCAGGCGGCTTTCCAAGGAGAAGAGATGATGGCACCCATCCTTTGCCAACCCCAGGTGCTTTGGGCAGCAGGAGGAGCCCCTGAGGCTGGGAGGGTGCTGGAGCCTGGGTTAAGGCTTGGCTGGTGTATTTGGTTGAGAGAGGAGCTGCAGG